TCAACATTAACCCTTTCGGCCCTGGCGGTGGCAATTGCCACCACCAAATTCAAACGCTTGCATTGCCGCTGAAACAGCATGGTTTTTCTAATCCTGCTAGAGGTTGCTTCAGTCAACCTTCCCCTTCCTAATTATGAGCTAAACCTGCCATTTCATTGTGTGTTGCTGTTAGTATTACAAGTATTTGTGTACAAGTGCAACAATGAATCGGCGCTGGTCCCCCGCAACCGGCCAAGTAAGTGTCACTTTTTCTTAAATACTTGAAGTAGATCCATTCTTCAATCAAAATTATGGGTTATAATGTTGTGCAAGATTATAAACTTTTTCGGCATAACTATGAAATTTGGAATTGTTTCGACATAAGCTTAAAAACTAAGAAGGTGGGCCAATTTTCAAAGGGTGGGCTAGTTTTCAAAGCTTCTTAGTTTCTTTGTTTGTGATCGAATAGCTTCCAAATTTCGCCATAATGATACCTATATGCTCACAAGTAATAAACAATAGCTAGAAGAAAAATTTCTCCACGGGGAAAAATTCAGGTCCGAAAGGGTTAAACATTCGCGCTTTAGGAGAGACCCGCTCCTCGCGAACTGGGCTGCTCTTATTTTGAGTCCCGGCACAGGTAAAGGAATTATGCGCTTTTTTTACAATATTGCTTCCACCGTCTACAATTACGATTTCAGATGTGCGTGTGGGGAATTTCGTCGGCTTAGTCAAAGTACACAAGCTCCAAAAAAAGATGACAAAGATGGTACATGTAATTTTGTAATCGCTTTTATTTTCACTCGATATAAATCCGATTACACATATCTGTACTCATAAGTATATGTAGACCTGTAGCGAATACTATATGTGACGATTGGAGCTGGATTGTGGTTGCTTGGCAAAATCTGATTCAGTTGTTCGGGGCAACAAATTCTGAAATATGAGTTCCTCTAAAAGCGTACATAGGATAAATAACTACACTGAATCTTTTCCGGAGTCTGCACCATTCCAAATCCTTTTTGCTGAGGAGTTTGTTTAAAAGGCTGATTTCATGATAGGTCGAATAAGTCAATTATTGTTTTAGGCACAAGCTTGAGCTCCACCCTGAGGGATACAAAAGTGATCGATGCCTCATCTGAGCTAAACCCGCACCCTACGCATGAGGTTCACGACATTACTGTATCCACAGCAACCATCTATAATAGACCGATGTCAGACATTGCGAATCCAACGATTCGCTAAGGAATTCGCATCGGTCTGCCGGGAGAATGAGATGGTTTCGTGGAACGGTCATCGAATAAGCGCTCCACAATGGAGTACCTGGATCTTTTCAATACAAATTACGAGCAAAATTTGAAAGCAGGGTGTACCAATTAGGGAAGTGTGGATAATGGCCTTAGTAGAAAAGGTATGTAATTTTTCCTTTTCAGGTTTTTTTAGTTCATTGATTTAGGTGCGTCAATTAGGTGTGTCAGGTGATTTTTTCACAGAGATACTGGTTTATAACTAACTTTATTCATTTTCCGCATGCCCTTAAAGCCACGAGTAGGGATTAGATCCCAGGAGCCAGTTGTTTCTACAGTGAGGAAGAGGGGTCCCCAAGGGCAGGAGGCACGACACTGTCGCGACTCAAAAGTGCGAGGCAACGGCGCTAAGGCCTTGCTTGTGTGCTGCCGTGCTGCCATCCTTATCAACCACGGCATACGTGGTCTCTGCGTCCTCTCGCGTACGACGTACTATCTCGCGTTCTCCCTCTCCTCGCAGCGCTGTGTCTCTCCGTCATACTACGGCCGGCCTCCTAAGGGAAATTTAGTGTTTTCTATGGTGCTTTTTGCTTTTTCTCCTCACTAATGTTCCTCATTGCAGTCCCTTGCCCAGCTTTCAAACAAAATAACGCACCAATTCGATTCCTACCCGTGCCTTCAACTGTTTTCGGCATAATGCTTTAGACCATTCAAAATTAATTGGGAGGATTTTTAGCATTTCCGGTGATTCTCAGATCTTAATGGGATATCAGTTTAAGAGAAATCGGTACTTCCGACAATTCCTTCTTTCAGCTCTTAAAGGCAAGATTCAAGCTTAAACTGATGAGGTAATTCTACTCAAATGTGATGTAGGGGTGGGAGGTGGACCGCCAGTGGAAAAAAGGAAAAAAAATCGTGAAATACACAGGAAATACGAGCCTTTTGCTCTACGCTGCGGAGAAGTTCAAAAGGCCGGCAGGGAGATGAGAGATAATGTGAGCGCGGAGAGCGGTAGAGAAGTCCGAGAAGAGAGAGCATAGCAGATCAGCATTGCGACGCAGACAAAATATCGAGCGGTGGGCGGAGCGTGTCGCAACAGGTGGAGCGTGTCAAAGTCCTTGGCCCCTAGCGCCTTAGTGACGCATTTCGATGCGGGAACTTGGCGAGTCGCCTGCAGTTGCGTCCCATGCACTTCTAGCCACTTTAAGGGCTTATTAGGTGGGTCTGAGCCCGAACTTTGCCTTTAAACATGCCTCTAAGCCGCAAAGCTTGCTCGAGATGTGTGCGCTGCGTATAGAGAGGATGCCGTAGCTGAACGAAACATTTGTGACTGGTCTGCTCATGGTAATCTCAAAATGGAGACATTTTGAATGGTTTAAATGGTAATTCCTGCCAATACTGAAAGGAATTCGTCCACGCTGGGAAGGTTCTAAACAAGGTTATATATAAAGACAGTCGTTTGTCCAGCATTCTATGGCTCCCTTGGCTAGATTGGAGATAATAGTTGGTATAGTACCCGAATGGGTGGGAAGTTGCCCTGAGGGCGTGTGCGGTTGAGGGCAGGGTTCGAAGTGAGTACGGTAGTGGGCGGGGTCCGACCTGAGGGGCGGGGCTTGCGCCAAAATCTCTGCGGAGAATATCGATTTTCGCGCAGAAGGCTCGAATGAGGTTGGGAATCACAGTATTGATTGGGGGTGTGGTAAAAGTCGAAATTCTTCGGGTCACATGCTATCGATCGATATCGATTGAAAATATCGGTTTTTGCGCAGAGGGCTCGAATGAGGTTGGGAATCACAGTGTTGATTGGGGGCTGTGGTAAAAGTCGAAATTCATCGGGTCACATGCTATCGATCGATATCGATTGAAAATATCGGTTTTTGCGCAGAAAGCTCAGAAAGGTGGGAAATCACAATATCGGGTGGGTAATGCAGTGATAAGCTACCCCAAAGTGCGCGCGAGGGCGCGCGAAGCTGAACTGATCTTCAAAAAAACGATTCCGTCATCAATCTCAAGGATAGAATCCCAGCATTATGTGCTGTCAGTTTTCAAGACTTCATCTTCTGGTGTATAAATGGATAATATTTTCTCAAAAAACGTCACCTTGGGCTCGTCATTGCCTTGTCTAACAAAATCCTTGGTTCAATCGCACTGTTCCTGCAGCCATTAGCACATGAAACATCTTTCAAGGCTGTTACTCGGAATTGGATCGTTTTACCTGCTGGTGCCTGAAAACAGCTTTGATTGAGACTGCTTCCAAAAAAGTAATTGTGGTTTCAAATGAGTACCGTAATCCAGTCGGTGCAGATCGTGTGGGCGTTACGTGAAGTGGTTATCGTGGCATTGCCAATGGTGATATTTCTTGACTTCCAAGCCTTGGCCGCTGCCAGAGTCGCACCGCATCCTGCTGGCTAAATAATTTTTTAAATAATTTCTATCTTCTTCCATCGAAGCAACACCTTGAAGGTTTTTCCTAACAACTGGAGCACTCACTCTCTGTGCACAGTAAGCGCCACCATAGCCAGGCGGGCAAATGCATACTTTGCAATTTTTCGGATTTGGGTACCCTGCGTTCTTGCATTTGCCAGTAGCTCCGATACCAGCACAACCTAAAACAGTAAAGGATTCGGAATGACATACTTGATCATTGTAACAGGAGGGTGAGACAGCCCCTTCTGTGGGCATAACGTAAAACATAAAAGGATAAAGCATTTGCCGTTGATCAATCCCTTTTTAGGATGCGGCACGCATTCTACTTCCATTTGTACATTCGTAGTGGCGTTTGAATAATGTGGCCTATAATGTATGAATATGTCGAGTATTAACTTACGTATAATGAGGAAGAGCCAGCCGATCGTAAAATTAGTGTTAATATATACTCCAGACCACCGATTGTCCAAAAAAATTAACCGACCGATAAAAAAGGATGGGAGGCTTGGTTATCACGAACAGGATTCGATTCCCCCCCGGACCCGCGGGTGGCTGACTGCGTTCGAATTGAACGCATAGTGACAGTCCTACAGGATCACTTCTGATTAAGAAGGCTCATCATTCTTTTAATCTTCACTACGTTCAACTACAAAATTGGTACCCGCCACCACGAATTGTTTACAAAGACTCCGGTCAGCAGAAGTGATAGGCGATGAATCCCTTCCGTTCAGCATCCTCTCAAATATTATGGACATGTGGCATTGCTCAATGAGAGAAGCAACTCTGGTGCGTCGAAATACTTACACACAAATTTGAGTCTCTATTCATTCATATCTTTTTATAATTTATCTTTTATGCCCAGAATATATCATTTTTTCTACAGCAACGAAAAACTTTTCAATTGGTAGGTCTTATAATAAGCTTTGACCGGAATCAATGTATGTCACTCGCCCGATTCTTAGTATGCTCGGCGTTGGATGGAGAGGCCTAAAAAACCTGGGGTTTGCTAAATTTTCAAAGAAGGATCGAAAGATGGCCATCATACCGTCAAATGTAGAGTTTTTGCCGCGAGTGAAAGAGTAGAAGATATCGGAGCCCAATTGGAAAGGAAGGAATGCGCGAGGTGTTTCTAACGCGAGTGTGCAGTAACAGGACGATTAGAGTAGCCTTTTCACAATAGGTAGAATTGTGCATGGCGCGGCGCAGCGGTCGCACAACGACCAGTACCAGCATGACACGTGGCAAGCTCGCCCAATTAAATCTGTGCTGTGGACATATTAACCAGACGTAGACGGATCAACCCATTTTGGTGATGGGATGCCCCGAGCTAAAAAAAGCCCACCTGTGTACAGTCTCATAACCCTTATTCAATGATTCTTGGTGGAACCCAAGGTCCCTGCTGTTCGGGGCACTACAAGCGCGAAGGCCCAGCATTGAAAAGAAATCAGAGCGAGCTTACACGCCCGGAAGCAAAAATTGGTCGTTAGGTTCGGCTCCCACGCACACGCTCTTTGATAACATGCAATATATGAAAACCCAAGCTGTGTCCTACGCGAAAAATAATGTCAAAGAATCGTGTCAAACTGCCAGTCATAGATCTCCAATAAAAAGGAAGTTTCAAGTTACAGAAATGGCTCTTCTTTCTAGCTTCACCCCGCTTCCAAAAAAACTGGTCGCAGCCAGCGGAAACAATGTCATTCCTGGTGTATCTCCTGTGAACCGGTTCTGTTTCGTCTCTGAAAAGCGAAAAGAAAGGCTGTGGTAACACAGAAATATCTATACACCTGACAAAGCCTCGAAGAGTGTATACATAGCCTTCCGAACAATAATGGGTATTTATGGGTATTAGGGATCCTGCGGTATCACAAGCCACGACTTTTAGTTCCCGTCAGTAAAACATGAGGTAGGCAGACTGTCATGCCGCTGGATGCGATAGCGTGAGGACATATAAAAGTTACTTAAAGGCAAAAGTCGGGCTCAATAGGGGGGATTATGGCGATTGAAACTGAGTATAGAGATGCGAAGTGGAACGACAGTGGAGAAAAAACTGAGAAAAACCGTCGACAAGGCCGTTAACGACGTTTTTCAAGGTGGGAAGTTGCTGCAATGTGTGCAGCTACCCACATACAACCTCCAGGCACGGGAATTACTTCTCTAGCGTGCCTGAGCCCGACCTTTGCCTTTAAGCAACACTGACAGCATGAGGTCGGAAGCGAGTACTAATCTAACTTCAATTTGGGCTCGATGAGAGTCCACTAGTATTATAAGGGGCCTTAGTATTATAATGCGCCGTTCTACGGTTGGAAAGTGCGAAGACACTGGCGTAGGGCCCTCTAACAAGTTGGCTAATTGCACGGCCGAGTTGATCGGGCATGATCTCGGACTCTCTTCTCCGCAGAGAAGCATCAATTGGATTAGGGCGCCCTGCGGCTAAGAGTCCTTAACGGGCGTGGGCTAGTGGAGCCGTAGATGGAAGCAAGCTCTTATAGCAGACACCTTTCTTCAGCCGACGCCCTTCCATTTCAGAGAGGACCATGATAGTTCTTATTGAGGGTTTTTGTCGGGCAGTCTGCCTTGCATTTTTTCATTCTCAGTCAGCTCGGCATCCACAACCTTGTTATCGACTACAGTTACCCCACCTATTTGATCTGACCATGAGGCTGTTGCTCAAAAGGCATGTTTTATAAAAAGAACATCTGATCAGTCTCTTCGGTAGGTAGAATGAGCTGTTCGAAGGGTTCACCAGTGCACCATTGAAACGATTCGAAAGTTCACCTTAAGGGTGGTAGGTACTCATCAATGCCCGCTACTGGCGGTGCTAAACAGAGCTCGTTTGGAGGAGGCAGCATTAGCTGCTTATCTGAATCAATTGAAGTGCTTCCTCGTTGCTACTCTGGTTGCTCTGAAGCTCCGTCTATCACACCCGACCTGATTTCGATGCTTTTCTCATCTCCTTTCCATTTTTGGTTCACTTCGCACCGCAAATATCACTATCAAGCGCTCTTGCACACCGACATACAGTAGCGTTCAAAGGTCGCCAAAACGGTTTTCCGTGCTTCTCTTTTTTGCCAGAAAAAATCAATGGTGGCCTCGAAAATTTTTCTTTTGAACATCCTGATTCTTTAAGGCTTGAGGATATAAAAACACTAGAAAACATAGTATATCAATCTTTGGTTGCTCAAGCGAGAAAAAATAATGCACGAAAAATCGTTTCGGCGAACACTTTTGACCGCTACTGTAGTTCATCCTGAGGCTCCCTTCAGGGGAACACTTCGTGATCATGTAAACAAAATTTGTAAATCAGCGAAAGAGAGCAGAGACCGTAGACGATGCAATACTACGCAAAGGTGGTCTTGAACGGCGTTGAGACCACAAACTGGCCTGGGGATAGTCGGTGCGGCCATAGTGATGGTACCTTGTCAGGGACGGTTCATGCTCTCTGGCTCAGTCAGGAAATTTTTTCTAACCTCAACACCTATTACCTCTTATCTCGCTGTCTGTTCCTTGAAGGTGTCCCCAAGAGGCCCGTCGCGCGGCGAAGGAAGAGACGCAGACGCGGCAAAGGACGAGTCGCAGCGCATACTGTAGCGGTTAGGCGTCAGGTTAAATAGAGTGTACCATACTACGTCTCATATCGCACAGCACGCGCTGCGACTCGTCCTTTGCCGCGTCTGCGTCTCTTCCTTCGCCGCGCGACGGGCCTCTTGGGGGACACCCGTTCCTTAGACTCCTCCACAACGCAAAAATTTTTCTATGTTCTTGACAGCCTTTCATTGCTTTTCTTATTTTCTTTTCCCAAATAACGGTCTTCCTCATGCTCGCCTTCAATGGTCGTGAGGAACTGTCACACGAGCTTGG